CAAGTTAGCATGACTAGACATATTAACGCACTTTTACATTTTCACTGACACTCTGCAAAAATAGCACGGGTCTACAGAGCACTTGCTTATTGTAGGACGTTCTTAGAATAGCCCAATGCCTCGTCAACTAGACAAGATGCAAGTCACAGGAAGATCCTCTCACGTGGTCAGTGATAATGAAAGCCATGCTCGCTGAGTCACAGCGAGTCCCATTCGTTGCACACCAGCTGATATAAGCTATAAATTAATATAAATTCTGTTTGGAGTGGACAATTACCTTGGATCTAACAAGCAGGGTGTCTAATACAGACAGAGCTTGTGGATTGAGAGTTCTGCCCGATCTCATTGACGTACAGGAGGACAGCCATATAATGAGGACAAGGTGTACTTTTCAATAAAATAATTTATTTTAAAGAAAGGCAGATAAAGAAGGTAGATACATCTTCATGGTAGCTAACATCAATTATGTTGTACTTAATATTGCCAATATATACTCACCTAACAACTGCCAGAAATAATTCTTAGGGAAAGTGAAACTAGACCGCATACAAAAGGGTTTTTTAATATTGTGTGGCAACTTCAGCTGCACTCTAGATTCCAAGTTTGATACCTCGAACCCTAAAACTCCTCTGTGGGACAAGGTTCTGTCTAATAAAGTGAAGCATATAAGTGCTCTTTTTAACTCGTGTAATCTTTATGATGCCTGGAGGGCGTTACACCTATCTGATAGGGCATACACAATCTTCTCCCCCATCCGTAATTGTTACACTAGAATTGACAGGTGTTACATCCTGGTACCCCACTTGCCCCAGTTGGGGGTTTTGGGTGGTGTGATAATGCACCGGTGATCATCTCAACAGCAGACTGCTTCAATTTTAAGGGAAAACCCGCGTGGCGACTAAATGAGTCGCTCTTACAAAACAAGGATTTTGCTAAATCTTTGAATGAAAGCCTCACACCGTATTTCATAGACAACGATACCCCAGAAATCTCCACAGACCCCCTATGGCAGGCACACAAAGCGGTGGCGAGAGGTCTTTGTATTAGGCAAGCATCCCACCTCCAAAAACAATCCCAAAACCAGATTGCAGGAATTAAATAGTACAAATCAAGTCACGCTAACTAAACAAGCTGAAGACGAAATCCTAAAAAATTCAAGCAAAAATCTCTGAGGCTAATCTAAAAACATACAAGCTTCAATATGAGAAAAAATGTCCCAATATACTCAGGGGAACTGGGCAGGGAAATTCTGGCAACAAAGCTTAAAGAAAAGCAGACACAAACTAGGACTCCTTATCTTAGAGCACAAAAAAAAACCGATTGATTGCCCCCTCCGCTATCAGCAACGAGTTCGCCGCATACTATGGTGAACTCTGCAATCTATCCAAAGATGGAAATCGTAATCATGCATCCATTGCCGAATCCACCGAGTATCTAGCCTCCATAGAGGCCCCCCTTACAGCCACATGATTTACCTCCGCAATTGATGGCGCACCCCCTAACAAATCTCCAGGCCCCGAGGGCCTCACCAATGCCTACTATAAACCACTCAAAGCAACTCTTACCCCATACTTACTCTTACTTTTTAACAAAGCAATTAGCCAGTCTGAATTGCCCCTAGAAATGCTAGCGGCCACAGTGGTGACCCTACCCAAACCAGGGAAGCCCCCCACGTGCTGCAAGAATTTCAGACCCATCTCATTACTCAATTCAGATGCCAAATTATTTGCCAAAATTCTTGCAAGCTGTTTGAAATTGATACTTCCAGTATTAAATTATCCTGGTCAAGCAGGATTTGTAAAAGGCAGACAGGGAACCAACAGCAAAGGAAAGTGATAGACATTGTACACTCGATGGCCAGAGCTAAGACAGGAGGGGTCATGCTATCTCTCCACGCAGAGAAGGCCTTTCGCCCCTTCTGTATGTACTGGCCTTAGAACCCCTCGCCATTTCAATCAGAAACAGCGCAAATATTCACGGGGTCCAGATAGGAACTACCTCACACAAAATGGGCATTTTCGCAGACGATGCCCTCACACTTACAAACCCTCAAGTTTCCCTGCCGGGGGTGACTGCAATCCTACAGGAGTACAGTAAGTTCTCCCATTACAAACTTAATGAGACCAAAAAGCAAGCAATGCCAAACAGAGACATCCAAGCCCTAAAACAACAGTTCCCGTTTGACGGAGGGTGGACTTCCTGGTTTACTTGGGGATTAGAATTAAAAAAAATCTCACTGACCTTTTCAAAGCAAATTATATTAAACTAGCAGGGGAGCTTCGTTTATGTCTTGGATGCCAACGGTTTAGACATTAATGGCTGTGTGTTGAGTTATTTTGAGGGGACAAAAATTCACACTGTTATACAGGCTGTACACTTACTACTTTACATTGTAGCAGAGTGTCATTTCTTCAGTGTTGTCACATGAAAAGATATAATAAAATATTTACAAAAATGTGAGGGGTGTACTCACTTTTGTGAGATACTGTATGTAGCATGAAACATGTTTATATTTACAACAACAGTGCAAAGAAAATGTAGCCCCATGTAGCCAAAGCGCAGCTAAGCGAAAAAAGGCCTTGACAGGGGTTAGGAGGCGGGCATAGGAGGAGGGAAGGAAGTAGGGAGTTATGGGTAAGTAGGCTTGGCTATTTAAATAGGCAGCCATTTTAAAAGCCTTCACTTTTAATTACTACCTTGCTGAGTTTGTGTGCACTCCTGTGTCCACAGATTTGGTTTGGTGGGGTCTTTGTTTTTCTCTCCTTCTGCAGGGTCGCAGGATAACATGGAGGAGCTGTTGGAGCGGATCCGGTTGGCGGCTCAAGGACGTGGCGTGGACTGGCTGCGGGCGCAACTTGGACCAGCCCTGGCGGGTGCTGCGGATCATGAGGGCGGCGGAGGTCGGCCTGTGCGGGCTCGGAGGCCGCCGAGACGGCTGAGCCCAGGCGCGGAGTCCGGTGGAGACGGTTCCAGCGGCCGGGCGGCGGCGGGACCAGGCCGAAACGGACCCGGTAGCCGCATGGTTGAGGCTCCGCCTCCCGGCGCGTTACCGGGACGTCGGAGAAGCGGTAGCCGGCGGGAGGCTACCCGGGAGTCGGACGGTGCAGCTCCCAGTGCGGGGAGGGCTGCGCCTGGAGCGGGGGCCGCGGGAGACATCGGGCGGCCCCCTGGAACCGGTGAGGACGCGGGATTGCAGCCCGGGAGGGCATCTACTACACCCATGGCGGGGACTGGCGGGGCCGGTGCGGAAGGAGCTCGCGGACCGCCCCTGGAACAGGCAAGTGCAGGGGGTTCCGGCCGGGACCCCCTTGGCGTGAATCAGCGCAGGAGGACTGGGCACAGGGTTCAGAGTCCTGGGGGGGACGTGGGGAGGGGTCAGGTGCCTGCTAGAGCGGGGGCAGGGAGGTCTAGGGGGGAGGGTGCGCAGGGTAGTTCCAGGGTAGTGAGCTTGGAGCGAGGGCCAGTAGCCGGGAGGGTGGAAGGGCCAGGGGGTACGGCAGGGGGAAGTTTGCCATCGGGGGGGGCAGGAGGTCGAGGTGCGCAGGGCGTTCAGGACAGGTTAGGGGTGCGGGGTCTGGGGACCGGCTGGAGGTACCGAGGGGAGGGGGTGCTTCTAGTCGGGGGGCCCGCCGGGGTGGGGGGTGGGGATTTCCCCGCGCTGGTGAGCAGATAGGTGGGCGTAGTTCTGGGGGGGTTCAGGTTTGGGGTCAGGTGATAGCAGCCCGTCACCGGTTAGGGCCCGGGGGTCCGGGGGGTTTAAGGGAAGGGTTCGGCGTGTTAGGTCCTCATCTAGTAGCTCAGGGGGGGGGAGTGTCATGGCCCCCAGGCTGGTTACACGGGGGCGGGCCTCTGGTAGAAACGGGAGGAGTCGTAGTCCCAGAGGCAGGGCCGATCGGGCCTTGGGTGGGCGAAAAGGAGTGGTTGCGCGACGGGAGGCTCTGGTGTCCAGCGGGCGCTCTCAAGGTCGGGACGGGGGGGCTGCTCATGACCAGTATGCTCTGCCCAGGACTTCTTCTCCTCGTTACAGATCTCGGAGCCGCTCCGCATCTGATGTGGCCGGGCACCGGGTTGGCTCCCCGGTTGGAGGATCGTTAACGGATGTCGCTCATCCTGGTCAGGGGACAGTACACAACGCAGCCCCAGGAGCTTCGGGGTCGAGGGGCTTGGCCGGTGAGTCCTCTGCTTCTCTGCACTCCAGTGCATTGGTTCATACACTTCAAGCACTTCTCCACTCACTGGGAGCGGGGGGTGCCACAAAGGGCGGTGTGGGGCAGGTTTGGGCTCAGGGGGCCGGGGTGGCGGGCCCGAGCGAGGTTCCCTCCGCGGAACAGAGTTCGGGTGGGGACACTGCAGTGACGGTTACTGGGGCGGAGGCGACGAGCGAGCGGGCTGAGTTGACGGGGGTGGTGGTTCCTGATGCGGCCAGGCAACACGCATATGTGTCGTTTGCGGGTCCGCTGGGGGTCCACCTCAAACAGGAGGTGAAGGAAAAAATCTGGAAGGGTGACTTCTGCGAGATCTTTTCTCTTCTCCCTTTGGAGGATTTTATTGATCTCAAAGAGGACGATAAAAAAGATGAGAAGAAGGAGGAGGAAGAGAAGAAGAAGCGGTATCGTAAGATTCCCAAGTCTTTCGGTAACTGGCTGAGGGCCTTTTGCGTGTTGGCCAGTGTTCTGGGCGAGAAATCGCCGGGCCTGTGCTCCTCTCTGTTTTGTTATTTGGATGGCATTTGGGAGGCGTATCGCACCTATGGCGGACTGGCATGGTGGCGGTACGACGAGCAATTCCGGCAGCGTTTGGCGGCTAATCCGGGTATGCGGTGGGATCAAATGGACCTGCCTCTCTGGATGAAGCTGATGATGGCGCAAAAAGCGCAGCCATTTCAGCCCACGGCCGGCGCAAAGGGGCAGTCCGCCTCGTCGGCCGCCATGCAAAAGGGCTTCTGCTGGCTCTTTAACGAGGGCCAGTGCAAATGGGGAAACGCCTGTCGCTTTAAGCACGAGTGTTCGGGCTGCGGAGGCGCGCATGGGCTCAACCGGTGCTTCAAAAAAGGGAAGTCGGGGCACACCGGGGTCCCTACCTCGGCTGGGGGGGGAGGGGGAGTTTCGCTTGCCCCGGGGCCTAACCCCGGTGAGGCTAGACGCGATGGAGCCGTGGCTAAGCCGCTACGGTAATAAGGCAGATGCCGTGGCGCTCCGGGTGGGGTTTGGTCAGGGGTTCTTTATCCCTTTCCGGAACCGGGGGGGGACTGGAGTTCGGCGCAACCTTAAATCGGTGGCTGAGTTCCCGGGTGTGGTGCGGGAAAAACTGGGCAAGGAAGTCAAATTGGGGAGGATGGCAGGGCCGTTCCCGGCTCCTCCATTGGAGGGTCTGCGGGTTTCCCCGCTCGGGGTGGTTCCCAAGAAGGAACCGGGCAAATTCAGGCTCATTCACCACCTCTCCTACCCGGAAGGAGAGTCGGTGAATGATGATATTGACAAGGGCTTGTGCTCGGTCTCATACGCATCATTCGACAGGGCGGTCGAGCTGGTAAGGAAGGCCGGGCGCGGAGCACTGTTGGCTAAGGTGGATATTGAAGCAGCGTTTCGGCTGCTTCCGGTCCACCCAGCGTGTCATCACTTGCTGGGGTGTTTCTTCGACGGGGGGTACTTTGTGGATTTGTGCCTTCCAATGGGTTGTGCTATCTCCTGCGTCTACTTTGAGAAGTTTAGTACTTTTCTTGAATGGGTGGTCAAAGTTGAGGCGGGGAGTGGGGCTGTGGTACACTACCTGGACGATTTTCTCTGCGTAGGACCGGCGGGCTCCCCCGCCTGCCTACACTTGCTGAGAACGGTCGAGTGGGTGGCTGGCCATTTCGGGGTCCCGCTGGCGGCGGACAAGACAGAAGGGCCGGCTCAGTGCCTTAGTTTTCTGGGGTTGGAGATAGATACGTTGCAAGGGGAGTGTCGGCTGCCGCTGGAGAAGTTGCGGCGGCTGAAGGAGGAGGTGACGACGGCGGCTCAAGCCCGTAAGGTTACGTTGCGGCAGCTGCAGTCGTTGATCGGGATGCTGAATTTTGCATGCCGGGTGATCCCAATGGGTAGGGTGTTCAGCCGGAGCCTGTCGGCAGCGACGGCAGGGGTGCGATCCCCGCGTCACTTCATTCGGGTGTCGTCGGCCATGAGGGCCGACTTGGCTGTATGGGAGACCTTTTTGCGGGAGTTCAATGGGACGGTGATTTTTAGACAGGAGGGCGTGTCGGCTGCGGAACTGGAGCTGTTCACAGACGCGTCTGGTAGCGTGGGCTTCGGGGCTTATTTTGGGGGACGTTGGTGTGCGGAGCGATGGCCGAGGGAGTGGCGACTGAGCCCCCTCATGCGGAACTTGGCTTTCTTGGAGCTGTTCCCGCTGGTCGTAGCGTTGGCCCTGTGGGGGGATAGGCTGCGGGACCGGAAGGTGGTCTTTTTCTCGGACAATATGGCCGTGGTGCACGCTGTGAATAACCAATCAGCGGCATCGAAACCCGTGGTTAGGTTGCTACGTCATTTTGTTCTGTTGTGCATGTCGCTAAATGTTGTTTTTCGTGCACGCCATGTGCCTGGGTTCATGAATGATGTAGCTGACGCCCTGTCTCGTTTTCAGTGGTCACGATTCCGGACGGTGGCGCCGGAAGCCCAAGAAGTGGGGCAGGCTTGCCCAGACGAGATTTGGCGGCTCGGGGCGACCTGCTTGGGGGACTGGTGAAGGCTTCGCTGGCGCCGGCCACATGGGCCGCTTACAGTAAGGTCTGGGACTCCTGGGAAAGGTCATGGGAAGGGTTGGACCGCCTGCCGGCGGGGGAATCGCTCAAGGATGCGTTCCTCTGGTACACCTGTCAATTTCTGGCGAAGGGGGCATCCCCGGCGGTGGTTGACAGGTCCATGGCGGCGATGGCTTTCTGGTTCAAGCTACATGGGGAAGAGGACCTTACTAAGTCCTTTGTCATAAGGCAGGCACTGAAGGGGTACCGGCGGGGCCGCAGACGGCCTGACACTCGGCGCCCAGTATCGGTGCGAGTGTTGAGTGACCTGGTCGGTTTATTGCCTACTATATGTTTCGACAGGTTCGAAGCATCGTTGTTTCAGGCGGCGTTTCTGTTGGCCTTCTTTGGAGCCTTTCGGGTAGGGGAGTTGGTCAGTGCCACGAGGACTGCGGCAGGAGGGGTACAGGTGTCGGGGGTCCGAGTGCTGGAAGGGAAGGTGGTTGTACACCTGGCAAAATCCAAGACGGACATGTTAGGCAAGGGCCGAGATGTGACGCTGCGGGCCCTGCCGGGCTCCGCTTTGTGCCCAGTGGCCGCGGTGGCGGGGTACATGGCACGGAGGCCGGGGGTTGGAGGATCGCTGCTGGTACACGCGGACGGGTCTTCCCTCTCCCGGTTCCAGTTCACCAAGGTTTTTCGGTCTGGACTGGGAAAGCTAGGACTGAGGGTGGATACTTTTGGTACACACTCCTTTCGTATTGGGGCGGCTACGGAGGCAGCTCGGTTGGGTCTGGGGGATGACATAGTGAAACGGATTGGGAGATGGGAGTCGGTACGGTTCCGTTCATATGTGCGTTTGGGTTTATTGGAGTAAGATGGGGAAGGGCCTTTGGGGGGATCCCCGGGGGCTGGGTGCATAAGGGGCTGTTATGATCTGTTTTCCTTCTCTCCCCCAGGCCGTGTCGCATGGATCGTGGGCCATTCATTTGTCTTCTGGGCCGAAAGGAGGGCTGCAGCTCGAGCTCAGGGCCACCAGCTGGGCTTTCATCGGGACCAGTTGGCAGTACAGTGGTTCGGGTACAGGGGTTTTTGTTGGGGGGAGGTCTGCGAAAGGGTGTTCCGGATGGTAGCAGGCGGGCAACGGCCGGACCTGCTGGTGCTCCATGCGGGGGGCAACGACTTGGGCCTCACTCCGCAGCGGCGGCTAGTGAAGTGGATGAAGCAGGACCTTAACGGTTTAAGGGACCTACTTCCGGGGGTGATGTTGGTCTGGTCGGAGATTATCCCTAGGAAGCGGTGGCGGCATGCTAGGGACCCGGAGGCTATTGACAGATGTAGGAAGAAAGTGAATAGCTTGATGGCAAGCTTCGTGCGGAAGCTAGGGGGTGTGGTAGTTCGACACAGCGAGTTGGAAGGTGGTACTACCGCTCGGATGGAGTTCATCTCTCGGCAGTTGGTTGGGATCTGTTGACCCTGGGCTGGCAGGAGGGCATAACTAAGGCTCTTTTTCTTCGGGGTGGCGGAGCTCAGACAGCTTAAGGAGTCAAGGTCTGAGCTTGTGGCGGGATAGGGAGCTGAAGGAGAAGTAATAGGCTCCCTAGGATGAACGTCATGGAGACGTAAAACTGTGGTCATTGGTGGTTGGTAGGTTCCGAGTCCTGTCGGTGGCTCAGAATCTGGTGGGGCAGGGGTATCCGGGTATACCCCTGCCATGGTTAATTTATGTTTGGCACTTTAAGTTGGTATGTTGGAATATGTTGATACGTATGTTATATGTATATGTATATATGTTATTTATATGGGGGTCATTGCCTGTTACATTAACAGAAGGATTCGGTTACGAGGGCGGAGTATGGGGGCAATGACCCATGTTTATTGTTAAAATTATTATTGCTTAATAAATTATTATTATTCAAGATTGTTTAAATAAAGCTGTGGACAAATTTTCCCATATACCTTTGTGTCAGTGAGTTATTGGGTTGGGTATGTGGGAGGGTTGTCCTGGAGTCCGACTGCCCATATGGCGACTATACACCGGTCATGTAGCCCCATGTAGCCAAA